CCTCAGCTCTGCAGTCCCTGCATTCCATTCATACACAGGGCAAGCCACCTTTTCAGGCATCAGACCCTTTGTGTTGGCACAATGTGGTTTCCAGCACCTTTCATCAGCCCAGACTACTCAAAGCTCACCCAGAACCAATTCTATTTACGAAGCCCAGTTTCCCAAGTTTGTGGCTTCATTATCATCATTGTTAGTGGCCACATAGCCATCTCCATGGTAACCAAATCTGTCTGAACCCCTCCTTTGGAAAATCCACTGTGCAAACATATTTACAAGTCCCAGTTGCTATGGTCAGACTGGTTCTGGCTTCTATGGTAGGAAAACCTAGTTTAAAACCTTTCAGTGCCTCTGCATTATACTTAAGATTAAAGACCCACGAGGTCCTGCGTGGGACCCTTCTGTCCCTCTTCAAATCTCGTCTCTGCCAAGCTCCCATTTGCTGTCTGATACCCAAACACATTTGCCTTCTATCAGTCTCTCAATTCTTGCAGCCTGTCTCTTGTGAGAGGGCCTTTGCACCTGCTGTTTCCCATGCCAGAAGTGCTCTTCCCTCCCTTTGTTGCCTAGACCCATCCAGATACCTTTCCATGCTCAGCTCAAATGTCACTTCCTCAAATGTCCTTCCTGACTTCTCAGAGGAGAGAAAGTCCAACTTTGATCAGTTCTGACATCCCTTTTTGGCATCGTCACAGACTTCCCTTTTTTGTTTTTGTGGCAATTTAAGTCATGGCAGGATTTAATTTCTCACTGGTTGTTGCTTGGAGGCCACCCTCAGCTCTTGCCACTTGGGCCTCTCCATCACTCAGCTGACAAGCTGGCAGGTGACTCCATCAGAGAGGGTGAGTGAGAGATCTGGAGAGGACGAGCAAGATGGAAATCACCGTCTTTTATAATCTAATCTCTGAGATGACATCCATCACTTTTGCTTTTGCTATATTAGAAATGAGTTAGTTGGTCCTGCCCACCTTCAAGGGATACCATTTTTGAAGATGCTTACCAAAAGGACCAATTAAATCATTTCCTTTCTCTTTTGGGGCCAACAAATGAAGAGGGATTCCGTATTATCTAGGAGAGACAGCAAGCCTACACACACCCTCATGACTTTAATATGAGCCACAAAGATCTAGGGACTTCATGCTCTTTCTATCATACAACTTCTATAGGTGATCACATAGGAATGGAGTGGCCCAGACCTTGCTTTATGAGGCCCTCATGTCATCAATCTATCATAACCACTAACTCAGGAGACTGAGGAGTGAGCACTACCACAGCCACCATTACATCCCTGTGGGACCTGGACAGATCAGAAGCATAGCTCCTGGATGGGTCTGCCAACACTGCTGCCGAACAAACAGGTTAACTCACTGCAAGAGAAGCCAATAACTCAAGAGACAAGGGATTGGAAAAGAGAAAGGAAGAAATTTGTTTGGGGTGTGGGCAGCTGAGGGAGGTGGTAGGCTCAAATGTTAACAACTACCCTCTCCCTCCCCAAGATAAACACCTAGGGTAAGACCTAGGTAAGGAGAGGTTCAAGGGGGTACTGCAAGAGACCTAGCAGAGAGCGTGTGATCATGAGTGGGGGTTGGTATGTGCTCAGCACATGATCACGGGCAGAGAAGGGGATGTGGTCTTTTAGGCATTCCTTTGCTCTCAGGGCTTTTCTGGCCTGTTCCAATCATTGCAAAACATCTTCATCAGTGCAGAAAGGGCAATAGAAAATAAGAACAATGGGTTTCAGAGCATGAGTTAAGGGGTCTTGTCTATGTCTGGCTTTAACCGTTGGGGTCTGTAGTTGAGCAAGAGGACTTGCTGACATCCAAGTGACAATTCTAGAGGAGGAATTGTCATTGTCATGTGACAACAGTCATGAGGCCATTCTTGGGCTCTTCTCTATCCCAGAAAGGCAGTAGAGTGTGATGGCCAAGAGCCTGATTTCCCCAGTAGTGGGCTTGACTTCCTGCTCAGCTCTATACTATTGTGTGTCCTTGAGCACTACCTGTCTTACTTATTTATTATTCAAGCCACTTATTTTATCTCCCTTTGTCTCAGTTTCCTCATTTATAAAACAGGGGTAAATTGTCATAAAGTTACTATCTCATCGAACAGTTGTGAGGGTCAGTAGTGAGCTAATGCACCCAAAGTACTTAAAGTGTATAATTATCATTCAGTAGTTTATTGTTCCTATTATTGTTGCTGCATTAACAGTGTGCTTCGGAACTTTTTACCTTAAAACATCCATTTATTACCCTCGTGGAATTTGTGGGTCAAGAATCCAGACTGGAAACAGAAGGGATAGCTTGTCTCTGCTCCACTGTGTCAGGAGCCTCAGCTGGAAAGATGTGACAGCTAGGAGTTGGAATCATTTGAAGGAGTCTTCTGGAAACAGTGCTGGCCGACGTGTCCACACGTGGCCTGTGTGCCTTGGGCTTCTCCACAGCATGGCAGCATTGGGGTAGTTGGACTCTTTAGGGCTTGAGATGCCAGTGTCTCAGTGACCCAGCCTCAGGAGTCTGCAGGGCCACTCTGTGCCACCTACTGGTTGAAGCAGTCACAAGCCCATTTAGATTTCAGGGGAGGGAACAAATAATTTTGGAGCTGTTTTCAGGCTGCCCTAGTTATTGTTGCTGTCAGGACTGTACAAGGGTCCCCTGGCTCAGAAGGTCCTTCTTCTTTGCCCAGAGGGCCGTGTGTGTCTGTGACACACGATCCCTGCGGGGTGAGGGCGTGGCGGCCGATACCCCTGAATGAGTGCATCTGTGTGAACACGCCATGAGAGACTGGACAAGCCTGTGGCCATGCGCTGACCTCATACGTGCATTTTTGCCTGAGAGGGAGATTTGTGGGGGTGTCCGCAGCCCGGTTCCTTTCTAGAGCTCACATATGGAATGGCCCACCTATATCCACATGGATGCCTAATGAGACCCTAGCCATCACGCAGCCAGAACAGAGCTCTGCCCCAAGCCACTCCCATCTCAGTGGGCAAGTCCTTTCTGAGTTTATCTGCCATCAGCCTACTTTCCTCTGTCCCAACTGCTATCCCTTGAGTCCAGATCAACCTCCCTCTCACCTCCTGACAGCCTCCTCCACTTGGGTCACCCCGTTTCTGCCCATGTTCCCTATAACCTACTAAAACTCTCTGATTATTTCTTGTGTCCTTGGGAATAAGATCCACATTCCCTACGCTTGCCTCCCAAGGTCTTAAATGATCTGGCCCTTGCTGACCCCTCCCTCGGACTCCATCTCCCTCCACTGTCCCCACCAAGCCCTGGGCTCCAGACACCACGACTTCACTTCGGCTCTTCTTTATATTCCACGACCTCCTTCCACCACTTTCCGGTCTTGCCTCTGCTTTCTTTCCCCTGGAACCTCAGGTCTCAGCTCAGATGTCCCTCTAGAGAGCAGCCTTCCCTGCTGCTTCCCTGCGGCCACCTGCACCTGTATGCCCCAGTGTCCTGGTTTACTTCTCCGCTTGGCCTTTACCACTGCAGGGGGGTCTCCCGCTCCTGCAGGCACGTATTTCTCCTCTTCCCCCACTGGAAAGCAAGCCCCACAAGAACAGCAAAGAATCTGTCCTGTTCTTCCAGCCCATCGCCAAGGCCTAGCCCTGTGCCTGTGGTGGGTACCTGGGAGCTGCCCCAACCCAATCGTCCACCAAATGGACAATAATCCAGGGGAGAGTGAGTGGCTGAGTCGGGTATGTGAGTGTCCCGGTTGGTCAGTGTAGACGCATGAGTGTACACACACGCCGGAGAGGCCAGACTAGGAGTGTGGACTGCAGTGATTGAGGATGCTCCTTCCTGCGGGGCGCACAGGAGAGGGAAGCGTGCGGGGTTCCCCCTCCCCCCGCAGCGGGGATGACAGGGGCGGGCGGCCCAGAGCAGGATAGTTGGGGGGCCCCCAGCCAGGCCCAGGGCGGTCCCTGCGCCCCTCGGTCCCGCCTCCAGGCGCGGGGGCGCAGGGCTGGCGGACGTGGCGGGCGGGGAGGAGGGACGCAGGCGGGAGGCGGGCCGGAAAGTTTGTCGGGCGGCGGAGGCGGCGAGGCGGGGACTCGGGGCGGGGGTGCGGGCCGTCCCGGTGCCCCCAGCTCGCAGGGGAGTCGTGCTCGCCATGGGTAAGTCGTGAGCGGGCGCTGCGCCGGGAGCCCCTGCGGCCTCTCCGCGGGGCCCCACCCCGCCCCCGTGGCACCCAGTCGGGTGGGGACAGCTGGCCCCGGCTGCGCGCTGGGAGGGGACGCGGGCACACTTCCTTCCCTGCTCCTTTCTGCCTCCCAAAAAGTGCTCTTTACTTGGTACCAAGTGCGCACTCGGGGCAGGCCCCGTCCTGACCGCCTCAAGCCTTACAACCACCCCGGGCAAGGGAAACTGCTCCTATTCGGCAAAGAAACAGAAGCTCCGAAAGGAGCAACTGCAGGACTGTTTGCTGACCACTTCTAAGTGTGGCCAGGCCTCAGGATGCTGCCAGGAGCAACACAGACAAAACCTCCGCTTTGGAGGTATTCGATGAGGGGAGATGGATTAGAATCCGGAACTGGGAGGGGTGGTGTTGGGGTCGGGAGGAGAATAGGGAATTGCTTTGTTGCTGCAGGGAACTAGGATTTCCATTTCTCTCTGTGGATCCAGAGCCTCACCCTGTCTTTCAGTCATTCATCCCTCTTTGGAAGCAGGGGTTGGGGACTCTGGTGAGCAAAGCAGACAGCAGTCCTCTCTTCCATGGAGCTGACATTCCAGTTGAGAAGCTGGAAGGGAGTAAATGAATAGAATGATTTCCAAGAGCGATAAGATGCTGTGGAACACATAAAATGGGAAAATGTTGAGGGAAGCAGCTTTGTTAGGTAGGTAGGTAGCCAAGGCCTCCCAGGGTAGGAGGCGCTGGTGCTGAGACATCGCTCAGATGAAGTATGTGTACTAAGATCTGGAAAAAAACTACAAGAGGGCAGGGATAGCATGTGCAAAGGCCCTGAGGCATGAGTGAGCTGGTGTGGTCAGACCAGTGTGGCTGAAGCACAGTGGGAAAGGGGAAAAGGGTGAGAGGGAGGTCAGAGAGTTAGACAGGGGCTAGACTGTGTAGAACTTTGTAGGCCGTGGTGAGAAGTTTGGGTTTTATTCCAAATGGCATGGGAAACTGGAGAAGTTTAAGCTGGAGTGGGACATGACCTGAATTGTGTTTTAAAAACTCGCTCTGGATTATTCTGTGGAGCAACATAATAGCCAACAGTGGCTATAAGGTAGCCACGCTACAAGGTGGATACTGCTATTATCCACACTGGTAAATGGGGAAGCTCAGAGAAGTTAAGCGAGCTGCCTGAGGCCACACAGCTATGGAGTAGAAGAGCTGGGATAGAACCCCAGCATTCTGGCTTCACAGAGTCATGGCAGGAATGGTCACCAACTCCAGCTCTGACTCCAGAATCCATGCTCTTAACCCTCAAGGCCCCCTGCCCCAGAACCTGAGGGAAAACAGAGACCCAGAGAGGTTCTCCCAACAACATTCAGCTTGACCCTGATCCCTTCCACCTGCCCCTCCTAGCCCTTTGCTGCCTCCTACGTTAATTCACAGCTATTGATTGAGCATCTCCCAAGGGCAGAGCTGGGCCTGGGTGGAAGTTGGGAAGGGGGGGAGGTGCAAGCTACCTGGGCTAGCTCTGTCCTCCACAGAGATCCCAGGCTGCTTTCCCGGGCTCCCTGTCTCAGGGATTGGGCCCCGGGGTGTAGACCTGGATTCCAGCCCCCGTTCTCCTGCTTCTGGGGTGCATCACCTAGTCTACCTTTCTGACTCTCAGCATTCTCACCTATGAAATGACCCCCATATGATGCTTCTCACAAGGCGGCCTTGAGAATGACATGAGCAAATGAATGAAAGGGGCTCGGCTCACCACCTACACCACCTACACGTGGTAAATGATCCGTCAATGTGAGCTTTGCTTTTTTTTTTTTTTTTTTTTTTTTACCCCACCCAGTGTTGGGACTCTGCTTTTGTCACTTACACACTGTCACCTTGGGCAATGTCTTTACCTCTCTGTGCCTCAGTCATTTCATCTGTAAAATGGGAATGACAGCTGAGCCTGTGGCATAGGTTTGCTGTAAGGGTTAAGTCAGCTGATGCAGATACGGCTTCCAGAAGGGGAGGCGCGGCTGGCTGTGGGGAGTGCTCTGTACATATTAGCTGTGTTAGGATGTTTGGAAGTCAGCCCTCTGGGTGAGGATATTTGCATAGTTCAGTTTAGCTCTGGTTTCTCCCTGGAATTTCAGGGAGAGCCATGGCAGATCTCTGGCGGGGGAGGGACCCAGTGTGTTGTGACTTCTGGTTGAAATGCTATTCTGGTGTCACCAACAGGAGGCTCCCTGGGACTTAAGCAACTAGCTGGTGATACATGTACCCGAAACCTGACTTCTTTCCCCTTCCGCTGATCCTTGATTCTCTCTCCCTGGGAAGCTCTGACCTCCACAGTAAGGGGCTTAGGGGATCAGGGCATTTCCTCCAGTGTGAGACAGCTCAGCTTCACATACAACTTTTTTTTTTTTTTTTTAGAGAGAGGGAAGGAGAGAGAGAGTGTGTGTGTATACAGGTAAAGGGAGGGACAGAGAGAGGGAGAGAGAGAATCTTAAGCAGGCTCCACACTCAGCAGAGAGCCTGTTATGGGGCTCAGTCTCATGACCTGTCATGACCTGAGCTGAAATAAAGAGAGGGACATTTAGCCAACTGAGCCCCCCTGGGTGCGCTTAGACAGATAATTCATAGAAAGGGAGACCAGTTCCCAAACCCAGGCTGGGCCCTCCTTTGGGGGCCAGAATTTACTCTTACTTCCTGTGGAGTGTGGTCCCTTTCAGACCTTAGACCTCTCCAAAGAAACATCTCCCTCAAGAGCCAAGACCCTTCCTCTCTGGATTCCCTAAGCCTCCAGAGTCCCTTCATTCAATCATCTGTTTATTCAACAATTATTTCCTGAGCTCCAGGAACTGTCATCAGTGTTAGGGAGTGGCTAAGGACAAACAATTCCTGTTCCTTTTGGGACTGGCACTCTGGTTGGAGAGAAGGATAAGTATGTAAAATACATAGCTCTTTCAGATGGTGAGAAGGACTATGGAGAGCAAGCAGGGAAGGGCAAGGGAAGTGATGTGATGGGGAGTTGGGTGGAAAAGGCCTCAGGAGAAGGCCGTGTTTGAGTACAGACCATTGGGTGAGAGGGGGAGGGATGGAGGGAGAGGGCTCTCCTAGCATAGGGGACAGCTGGTAAAAAGCCTTGGGTTGAGTCAAACAGGAATGAGGAGGAACAGCAAGGAAGCTGGCATGGCCGAGCTGAGAGAGAGAGAGAGAGAGAGAGAGCGCACAGGCAGATCCAGCAGAGCACTGAAGGCCACTGTAAGGACTTCAGCTCTTGAGGGCTCTGAGCAGAATGACTTAGGCTGTCCCAGGATGCCCCTGGCTATCATGTAGCATCCTGTGACGTTCCCATGTGCCTGAGGCAGTCCTTGCAATGCCATGTGGTGACGCCTCCCTAGTCTCCAACTCAGTCATTGGCTTATTTGACAGAAGGAGCCCCTCTGGGGTGTCAGGTCGGGGACTGGGGCTCAGGAGGCACAGACGGTAAGTCTCCATTGCCGCCCTGCTCAGTTTAACAAGGAAGCCGCACCCACAAACCTGAGACGGTGTCAGCAAGGGACAGGGCAATGCAGAGGTGGTGAGAAGTGAAAAATGTGGCTTGGAAAAAAAAATGTGGCTTGGAAAATGGAGGAAGACGTATGGGAATTAGCCAGGGCCTTCCCTGAATTACCTTAAGAAGAAGAAGGGAAGGGAAGGGGAGGGGAGGGGAGGGGAGGGGAGAGGAGAGGAGGGGAGGGGAGGGGAGAAAGGAAAGGGAAAGAAGAGAAGAAGAGAAAAGAAAAGGGAAAAAGTAGGAAGAAGAGAAAAAGAAAAAAGCTGTTTCTTAGTCACTAAGACATTCATGGCTTCAGGAGCTGGGGCTCAGGCAGTGTTGTCGGGGACACCCCCTCCAAAGGGGAAGATGGCCCCCAGCTGCTCCAGACATGTAGACTACCAGCTTTGCATTTTTAGTGAGTAAACACAGTGGCCCAGCCCAGCGTCAGCACGTGTTCATTGCTGCCCAGGGCCTGGGAACCTGCTGGTTGTTCAGATCTGGGTCTTGGATGCCCTGGAGCCAGGCCGGGGAGGTGGGGTGAGGGGAGGGGAGTCATTTCTACCCAAACCAGGAGACTGAGAAACAAAGCACAGGGAAGGGCAGCACCCCAACAGAGAGGGGGGATGCCAAAGAGCAGACACATACAACTCAAAGCCCTTTGGAGAGGTGACCGCGAGCGGGGCCCGACAAGGATGAGTGGGGACCCAGGCAATGCAGGGAGAGCAGAGGGGCGTGAAAGTGGATGGTTGTGCTGGCAACAAGTGTGCACTGGGCTTGTGGGAGGCAGGAGGGGAAGTGGGGACAGAGCTGGGGAAGGGTATGACTGAGGAGTTTGGCTGGGGGCCACCAGCTAAGGAGTTAGGACTTACTAGAGCAGAGGACGGGAGCCATGGCTTAAGGAAGGGGATGTGCTTCCCTAGTCTTTCCAATGGCCCTGACTCCCTGGGGGCTGTCCTTCGTAGTTCCTTGGGGCACTGTTGGTTTGCGATGCTCTGTGACTGGGTTTTCCTGAGAGCTAAGGCATCTGTCCCGCCCCCCCCCCCCCCACGCTGCACTGCTGCTCTCTCTCACACCCCACCTACCTTTGATTGTCCTTCTTACTTGAAGTCCATTCGGCAAAGCTCTTAAGTATATGGGTTTGGGAGTCAGATGGATCAGCGTTGGAGTTCTGATCCTGTTGCCTCCCAGCTGTGGGAACACTCTGAGCCTTACTTTCCCCATCTCTAAAATGGGGATAACTGTAGCTATACCATCTAGGGGTTGTTACGAAGATGGGTTGAGAGAAGGCACTGAAGTCTTTACATAGGGGAGCTACTCAATAAATGACACCTGTTATCAGTACTATATTATTTCACTATTATTTTTGCTGTTCTGCTCTTAAACCACTGTGACCCAAAGCTGCCCCGATGCATTTTCCTTTTTTTTTTGTTTAATATTTTATTTTATTTATTCATGAGAGACACAGAGAGGCAGAGACACAGGCAGAGGGAGAAACAGGCTCCATGCAAGGAGCCCGATGTGGGACTCGATCTCAGGAATTCAGGATCATGCCCTGAGCCAAAGGCAGATGCTCAACCGCTGAGCCACCCAGGCGTCCCCCCAATGCATTTTCCAACGAGACCTGTGGACAGTCAGCTTGGCCTCTGAGCTCCTTGGCTGGGTTCCCTTTCAGCTCCAGAGAACTGAGGAGATGGCAAACAAATTCTGTTTTCACTTGATTGCCTCACATGGCCTGGAAGTACCTTCCCTTCTGGCAGTAGGCTCCAGGAACCGAGGGAGATGGGGCAAAGGGAGGTGAAGACAGGGCAGGACCTTGGTACTGTCATCTTCCTAGGGTGCTCGTTGATGGTCATGAACAGGAGGTGCAGGACCAGCCAGGGAAAGGGAGGCGGTGATTTCCCAGAGGCAGGGTGGGAGGGAGAAGGGTGAGCAGAATTGGGAGCTGAGCCTTCCACCCGTGAAACTCCACCCCACCCCCTACCCCCCCACACCTCCCACACAAGAATTGCCTAATAGAGATGCGGAAAGGTAGAGGTAGGAGAGAACAGCGCAAAATCATAACATGCCAAGGGTTTGTAATGGAGTGGTTAAGGGTGTGGATTGTGGAGTCAGACCGCCCGGCTTTGAGTCCGGGCTTAGCTACTGACTACTTTTGACCTTAGACAAGTCACTTCCCCTCTGATGGTCAGTTTGTTCATTCATAAATAATTCAAAAGTCCACCACATGAAGTTATATTAAGTCAAATGTGTTACTGCATTTAAGTGCCCAAAGCAGTGCCTACTTCAGAGAAAACACTCAGTGAATCTGACTGTAGTATTATGAATATTCTTGTCAGGTCCAGGGTGGGTGTGGGTGTGATACTGCTAGGTTATTCCAGATGCTTCTAGAAATATCTAAGTGTAAGTATGTGAATTAAGAGTAACCTGTAGGGATCCCTGGGTGGTGCAGCGGTTTGGCGCCTGCCTTTGGCCCAGGGCGCGATCCTGGAGACGCTGGATCGAATCCTGCGTCGGGCTCCCGGTGCATGGAGCCTGCTTCTCCCTCTGCCTGTGTCTCTGCCTCTCTCTCTCTCTCTCTCTCTGTGTGTGTAACTATCATAAATAAATAAAACTTAAAAAAAAAAAAGAGTAACCTGTAAGTGCACTGCCAGTATGGTGGCTGGCTGCTAGCCACATGTGGCTATTTTTACATTTAAATTAGTGAAAATTAAATAAAATTGAAAAATTCAGTTCATTAGTCACTTTAGCCATATTTTAAGTGCTCAGGAACCACATGTGCTGGTAACTGCTCTCTCTTCCCAGCTCAAGCCTTCAAAGACTGCCTCCATCCACTGAGAATGAAATTCATTATTATCTTCATGACCTAAAAAGTTCCATGTGATCTGGCCCCTGCCTGCTTCTCCTGCCTCATTATCTCCTATGGCTCCAGCCACCTTGGCCTCCTTACTGAAAGCACTGTGATTAAAAGCTTGCACTTTCTAGCTGCATCCGTCACTCACTTGCTCTGTGACCATGAGAAAGTTTCTTAACTTCTCTGAGCTTGGAGGATGGTACTAATAATAATATGTGATAGGGTTGTTTTAAGAATTAAATAAGTAAATGCATATAAAATTTTTAAAACAGGGCCTAGCACTTAGTGTCACATAAGCACTAGCTATTAATTCTCAAAACTATCTTGCTTCAGGGCTTTTGTTTTGCTATTCCCTCTGTCTAGAATATTCTTCTCCCAGATTTTATATGGCTTTCACCCTCACTTAATTCAGATCTCTGCTCAAATCTTCTCTCTTTGAGAGGCCTTAACTGACTACCCTATTTAAGATAGAACTCCTCCATCATTTTCAATCCAGTTGCTTTTTTTAATGACACCTATCACCTGAAGTTATATATATATTTATTTATCGTCTGCCTTTTGCTACTAGAATATCAGGTGCTTGAGCACACTACTGTATTGAAAGCCCCATGAACAGTCTGGCATGTTGTAGATGCCAGATAAATAAGTTTTTGAATGATTGGGTGAATGGATGCATAGACGGATGGGTAAGTGTGTGAATGGGTACATAAGGGATGGAATACAAAGATTGGTGGATGAATGGATGTATGTGTGGATAGATGTGTCAATAGACGGATGGTGAATTAAGGAGTATATGAATGACCAAATGGATGGATGAATATGTGGTAGATGGAGCAAATGGATGGATAGAGGAGGAGATGATGAAGGGATGGATGCATAGATTGATTAATAAATAGCTGAATAGATGAATAGATGTAGTAGATGGATGGATGGATGGATGATGAATGATGAATGCATGCATTCATGCATGTGTAGTTGGATGGCTGGATAAATGGATGGAATGGATGGATGGATGGGGATGAAGGAGAGACGGATGAAGAATGAAGTGGATTGATGAATGGATGGATAGATGCATGAAAGCCTGCATGAGTAGATGGATGAGTGAATAAATGGATGGAGTGGGTGGGTAAATGGATGAACTGGATGCATGTAGGGAGGGATGAGAGAAGAAGTGGGTGGATAGATGAATGTATTGATGAATGGATGAATGGATTGATGGATGGATGAATGGATCAGTAGATGGATAGATAGGTGAATGACAGTAGATGGATGGAGGGGTGGGTAGGTGAAGGAAGGAGTGGATGGATGAAAGATGGATGGATCAATGAATGGATGGGTAGATGGACGGACAGGTGAATAGACGGAGTAGCTGGGTGGATAGATGAGGGGTTGACAGATGGATGATGCTCTGGTAAGGAACCATCCTGAACTCTGCTCCTGTCACTTTTGTTTTCCAGGCCATCCCCAACTGCTCCTGCCCCTGTGTGCCTCTGTGTCTTTGCTGGGTGGCCTGACCTTTGGTTATGAACTGGCAGTCGTATCAGGTGCCCTGCTGCCACTGCAGCTTGACTTTGGGCTATCCTGCTTGGAGCAGGAGCTCCTGGTGGGCAGCCTGCTCCTGGGGGCTCTCCTCGCCTCCCTGGTGGGGGGCACCTTCATCGACCAGTATGGCAGGAAACAAGCCATCCTCGGCAGCAACTTGGTGCTTTTGGCAGGCAGCCTGAGCCTAGGCCTGGCTGGCTCCCTGGCCTGGCTGGTCTTGGGCCGCTTGGTGGCTGGCTTTGCCATCTCCCTCTCCTCCATGGCCTGCTGTATTTATGTGTCAGAGCTGGTGGGGCCACGGCAGCGGGGAGTGCTGGTGTCCCTCTATGAGGCCGGCATCACCCTGGGCATCCTGCTCTCCTATGCACTCAACTATGCACTGGCTGGTGCCCCCGGGGGATGGAGGCATATGTTTGGCTGGGCCGCTGCACCTGCTCTTCTGCAGTCCCTCAGCCTCTTCTGTCTCCCTGCTGGTACCACCAAAGCTGCAGCCAACAAGGACCTCATTCCTCTCCAGGGAGGGGAGGCCACCAAGCTGGGCCTAGGGAGGCCGAGATACTCCCTTCTGGACCTCTTCAGGGCACGGGATAACATGCGAGGCCGGACTGTGGTGGGGCTGGGGCTAGTGATTTTCCAGCAGCTAACGGGGCAGCCCAATGTGCTTTGCTATGCCTCCACCATCTTCCACTCGGTTGGCTTCCGTGGGGGCTCCTCGGCTGTGCTGGCCTCTGTGGGACTTGGCACGGTGAAGGTGGTGGCTACCCTGGCTGCCATGGGACTGGTGGACCGAGCGGGCCGCAGAGCCCTATTACTGGCTGGCTGTGCCCTTATGGCCCTGTCAGTCAGTGGCATAGGCCTTGTCAGCTTTGCCGCACCCATGGACTCTGGTCCGAGTTGCCTGGCCATGCCCAACGCCACTAGGCTGTCAGGCCTCCCTGGAGACCCTAGCCTGCCGAGGGGCAGCACTCCACTTCCATTGCCAACAACCAGTGAGAACCAAGGGAAGCCAGTCTTGTCAACCTCTAAGAAAATCAAGCTTCATCCCAGAGCTGGGAACCCCACAGCCCCTCCCCTGCAAATGGCCTTAAGCACTGCCTCCCCTGCATCCCATCCTGCCCCAGAGCGTGCCTTGCTGCACTGGACCGCACTGGTCTGCATGATGGTCTTTGTGAGTGCCTTCTCCTTTGGATTTGGACCAGGTAGGTGGGAGTTCTCTTGCAGGTAACTCTGCAGCCTTTTACCCCACCCAGCAGAAAGGTTGGGGACCGTGTCAGTCAGGGTCTCAGAGGGACACTAGAGGTGGCTTGACCATGAAGCCAATGAAGCTTACACTTTAAGGACTCCTTGCTTACTTGCAGGCTCTTCTTCCAAGGGCCTAATTTTCTGTTCCTAGTGTGGGGGCCTTTCTTATAAAGGTCCCCAAATTATTTAAGCTTTGGGCCTCATGAAACCTGATTTGCCCCTGGATAAATCTTTCAAAAGGTTTACAGAAAGGGGTTCTTGCAGGGGTATCAGGGAGGCAGTGGGAGGACTGGGTGTCAGGGGCCTGACATTCTGCTGAGTCACATTGTCATGGGGCTGTCCGCTGAGCCACGGGGGCCAGGCCCCAGTTCCCACCACAGCCCACAAGTCCTCCCTGCTTTCCTGTCCTAGTGACCTGGCTTGTCCTTAGCGAGATCTATCCCATGGAGATCCGGGGCCGAGCCTTCGCCTTCTGTAACAGCTTCAACTGGGCCTGCAACCTCCTTGTCAGCCTCTCCTTCCTCGACCTCATTGGTGAGTCCTCTGGCCTAATTCCATGGTCTGATCCCTTCTAGATCCAAGAACACTTGTCTCCAGACAGCCAGGACTTCCATATCTGACTGGGTCTAAGTGACAGAAAAGCCAGGGCAAACTAGCTGATGAACAAAAGGGAGGATTTTTGTCATAAATCACAGAAAAGTGGCCAGTGGCCAGCTTCAAGCACTGCTGATCCCTGGGCTGCCATAAAGCTGCCGCCCGGCCCCGCTCTCTTTCTGCTCTGCCTCCCATGCTGTCAGCTTCTGTCTCAGCCAGACCCACCTCATGGTGGCAGGGGTGGCACCTGCAGATCTTGAAGTATGGCATTCAAGAAAGAGTATTTCTTTCCCCGTGCTCTTGCCCATGTCCTGGGATGGGCTCCTGTTGGCTCAGCAAGACTGCATGCCCATCTACGGCTAGAAGGCTGCAAGACTCTGATGCCCAGGCCTGGGGCATTTAGCACCCCCTGGAGTCAGGGCCGGTGGGGAATGGCTTCACCCAACCACACGGACAGAGGTAGAGGGGGTTGTCTCCTCAAAATAGAATCAGAGGCTAGTATCTTCAAAGGTGGGAGGAGAGGCTGACAAAGAGAAGACATGACCTTCTAGGCTTCTACCTTAGATGGTTCCAGGCCCCATCAAGGAGTGGGCCAGCTTGATTGACAGCCTGGAAATTGAGGCTGAAGAAGGGGAAAAGCCTCCATCTGGAAGCCATCTGTGATTGCTGTGGTAGGGGAGAGAACAACTCCCTGGGGTGATGGGGTGGGGGGAGTCTGGAGGTCTGAGGGTGGGGCTCGGGTACTCACCCACCCCCCATCTTCTTCACTGTAGCTGTGAGGATTAAGTGGAGGCCCAGCTGGTCAGGGAAGGTCACTCAGAGGTCCTGGCCTCTAAAGGTGAGAATGGCCATGGCTCTGGAAGGTCATCGATGCTTCTGCCTCAACAAAGCCTTCCCCTCAGAAAGTCTCCTTTCTCTGATCTGGACTGATGGCCTTCTAAGGAGCCAGAGTCACCCCGGTGGTCCAGGTTGCTGGCCCTGAAACCCTGGCCCTCACCTGAGGCTCCAGGAAGAGACAGGGGCTGGGGAACGATCTGGGAGTCAGACACAGGCCAAATGGGCTGAAACCTTATTCCCTGGATACTCAATTCATTCACCCAATAACCAGTTTATAGAATTTCTGAGGATCTTTTTTCATTAGGGGCTGGGCTGGGCCAAGCCTGCAACTATTTTGCTGCTAAAGTAAAGGCCATTTCCCCTCCATTCCTGTTTTCAGATTATGAACTCAGTCCTCTGGGTAGTGTTTTAGGTGTGGGTGAGTGTGTTTCCCATGCAGACCAGATGTCCTCATCTGTGTTTGCACATCTGGGCCCTGGTCCTTTGCTTCCCTCTGGGATAACCAGTCCTACTTATCTGACAGCTTGTTGTCTTCATTCTGCAAATCAGACATCTGGAGAATTTGCTTTGGGGGAACTGACTCGCAGTGCCCTCTCTGGAACCAGCCGGCTAGACAGGCTGCACCTCTGCTCACACTCCCGCCCTCCTGTTCCCAGGTACCATTGGCTTGTCCTGGACCTTCCTGCTCTACGGGCTGACCGCTGTCCTCAGCCTGGGCTTCATCTACTCATTTGTCCCTGAAACGAAAGGTCTGTCATTGGCAGAGATAGACCAGCAGTTCCAGAGGAGACGGTAAGAGGAGACAGGGTAAAAGACTCACATCACACCCTGAGCAGATCAGTTCAGGATTTACTTCTCGTACTTTCCCTTTGCAAGAGACTGATTTTCTCCTCCTCCTGACTGTCTTAGTGCCCGGACGCTGTCAGTTTTGTCTTGTCTTCGTGCAGGAGCTATTTTCCTGGAGTTGTTTGTGTCTTCCTCCAGCAGAGTTTAATTTGACTGTGAGGCCCCAGCTCATGAGAATTTTAAGGCCATGCGGTTATGGAATCACGTAAGGTCAGAGTAGTAGAATCTTAGAGTCATAGAAGCTTAGAGAAAATAGTCTAACTGTGGCCTTTTAAAGTCACACACAAAGACCTGTGGGCTTAATCTACTGATTCATTAGGAGTTTATTAAATCCCTATTATGTTCCAGGCCATGTCTGGGCCTTAGGAGACATGGCCAAGAGTATGATGGGCAAGGTCCTTGTCCTCCTGGAGCTTCCATTCTATTGGAGAAGTGGGAACAGAAAATAAATAAGTCAACAAATGCAGCAACAAGAGCATTTTGGTTAGTGATATGTATCTGGGAGAAAATGAAACAGAGTGAAGTATGTTGAGAAGGCCTGATTGGCAGAACAGGGTTGTGGCTAAATTGGAGTGGGCAGTCAGAGAGGGGGGACCTCGGAGGAGGTGCAATTTAAATGCGTGAGAAGGAGGGACACCTGGGTGGCTCAGCAGTTGGGCATCTGCCTTTGGCTTAGGTCGTGATTCTGGGGTCCCAGATTGAGTCCTGCATTGGGCTCCCCTTGAGGAGCCTGCTTCTCCCTCTTGCCTGTGTCTCTGCCTCTATGTGCCTCTCGTGAATAAATAAAATCTTAAATAAATAAATAAATAAATAAATAAATAAATAAATAAATAAATATGTGAGAAGGAGACAGCTGCGTAGAGATGAGGGGAGGAGTATTCCAGGTAGAGGGAACAGTATGTGCAAAGGTCCTGTGGTTGGGAGTGTATCTGGCATATGCAAGGAACCACAAGGAAGCCAGTGCGGCTGAAACAGAGGGAAGGAGGGCAGGAGGGCTAGAAGATCAGCTCAGCCAAGCTGGTAGGAGCTTGATCATGTAAGGTCTTTAGGTCACAGAGAGAAGTTCAGAATCTTAGCATCATGGAGCCTTGGGGGCCATTTAAATAAGAAATGAGAGGAATAGGAGCATCAGAAGGGACCTAAAAACTCTACAATCCTAAATATCCTTGGCAAATGCCCCTGGTTACTTCTTGTAGTAAAGGGAGTCACCAGCACCTGACTGCCCTTTCTACTCCTGGGAGGCCCTAAATGACTAAAAAGATCAACTTCTAATATGCAGTTGGACCTTGCCTCCTGCATCTCCTGCCAAGTGCCACCCCAACCTGGCCCCTGAAGGGATGCAGCACTAGTCTAGAGCAAAAGCCTCTAACCTGCTCCACCCCAACCCTGAGGGTTCTCTGCTGGTGGAACACCCCCAATTTGTCAGATGGCCCCCCTGCAGGTCACTCAGCAGCCCAACCCTATTGGTTAGGAAATAGATCTGGCTGCTCAGAATGGTCTGGATGTAGGGGGTCCAGGGCTGGGGTGGCGGCTGTGCTCTGAGAGGTCATCCAGGGTTGGAAGTTCCTTCTCTGGTGGCTCCACCCTCCCTTTGATAATTACCTTTCCCACATGGCCTGTGACAGTGAGCCACCACGGTCCTGCAAGAGGGAAGGTGGGAGGGGACACACAACCTGAAAGATGCTCACGTCACTTCCACCTGCATCCTTTGGACAGAATCTGACTACACCTACATGTGGGGGAGGCTGAGAAACAGAGGCTATAATCTGGGGAGCTGTGTGCCCAGCTAAAAATCAAGGTACTGTTACTAGGCTTAAAAGGGGGGAGTCCAGGTACTAGGAGCCACCTGGAATCTCTGCCATACTGGCTTTCTTGGGAGAAGATTCCAGAACCCCTCCTCTGGAGGGGCTAAGGAGTCTGAAAGGCAGGTAGAAGCCAGCTTTGGGGTAAAGCAGGTTGTGATCGCAGCCAAGGGGAGTGGCAGGTTGGACCTGGGAATTCAGGGGTCACGTGGCGGAGCCTGGGCCAGCCTGTGGGGCAAGAAAGCTGAGTCTGCTGTGACCTGAGGAGGAGACTGAAAGTTAGGGGCTCTGACAGGGTCTGGCAGTCACCACTTCAGTTCCTGACATCAGAGGCCACAGAGACAGACAGAGACAGACACCCCACCCCACCCCACTCTCTGCTTGACAGGTTTGCTCTGAGCTTTGGCCACAGGCAGAGCTCCGCCGGCATCCCATACACCCGCATTGAGGTCTCTGCAGCCACCTGAGGAGTCCATCTGCCTGGAACATGCTGGAACCGTGGCTGTAGCAGACTCACTCCTCAGCTCCCCGCTTGTCTGGCCCCTGGAACACTGTTTTAGGTGGCTCCATAAGAGTCATCTCTGCTCCAGAAGAGGTCTTTGGGGCCCAGGTGAAAGAGGAGAAAGTTTGAGAACCCGAAAGTCTTCATTTTGAACCTCAGGCTCTGAGAGGCCCTGAGGATACACCTTCTTGCCTCAGTTTCCCTACTGTCCCTGCACATCCCCGCAGTACGTATAATGAAAACATCTCATGGAGTCTGTTGCTCCATGGGCTTCCTCAAAGAACCTCTAGGGTACCAGCGCCTGGAAGGAAGTCTTCTCTGGTGTCACCCCAAATCCAGACAAGGATACTTCAGTCTCTGCTCTCTTTTCCCATCTGGCTGGGACTTTCTGGTGAGGCGGAAGCCTGCTTCTATCATTCACCAACTCAGATTGGTGGATAAGATGTTGAATTCCAGTCCTGCTTTTCTGGGGTCCTTGCCGTAGGACCATAGGCCTCGGTTTCCCCATATGTACAATGGGGGACCCTGACCAAGGAGTTCTTAAGATTGCTTCTGATGCCAATGAACTGGAATTCTAAATGCTGCTCATAGAACGTGTATTCAGCATGGGCCCTGCCCTCAAGTGACTGGCCATCTCTTTAGGGGATGTGAGTTTTACTTAGGGGAGCAATAAATAGAATTCCAGAATGGTGTGCACTAAAACCCAAGGTGCAGGAAGCAAGCTCCAGGAGCTGTTTCTAGGATGCTGCAGGAGAACTTTGTAAAAAGGAGGTGGGTTTGGGGGGCCACCAAGCCGGGCTTGTTGACGTTGCCTCGGTCCCCTGGCAGCTGTTGACCTTGGGTGACTTAACGGCTCGGCTCTCACTAGCCTCAGTTCCCACATCTACAGAATGGGGATGATTAGGCCCCTGGGCGTGTCCTTAACCCCTGCCTTCCTGCAGGAAGGTCTTCAGTTGGTCCCATTCAGCTGATCAGGGCCACGGTGTCAGGGAGGTTTCTGCTCACCCTCAGCTACCCAGGTCCCCACCTTTGGGACATTGTTAAGGGTCACCCCCTGAGGGGTAAGTCAGATGAGACTGAGCAAGAATCTTAGATCTGAGGTCAGTAGAGGAAGAGACAGGCAAGAGTGAGTTCCCGGATGCCAAGGAACATGAAGAGCTGGTGTGGGACAATGCTTTGTCATCTGTGCCTGCTCCACACCTAGTGGACTCTGGCCCCTCGACCTCTCTCCTCTTGTTCTAGATGCTTCCCTTGTACCCCGTGGTATGCTGGAGGCCCCTCATACTCACTTGTGAGAGCCCGTTGTTAAGTTTTCGAGACTTTTGCCAGCTGGTTGTTAAACATAGCCGTTTATAGATATTAAATTATTGAATATTTCAATAAATTATATTAAAAATAAAAGTAATAAATACTAAAAACTCATCACTTCCTTATTTTGCTACAATTCACCATCATCTGTGCTCTTGAGACTACTTGGCATCTAGGGTGTCTAATGAGAGACATGGGGGAGATCCTGCACATGTCCCGATTCTGTGTACAAGACGTCATGCTGGTCACTCAGAACTGCCCACGGGGAGTGAACTGGGACCACAGGGATGGGGGGGCACTACAAGACAGGGCTTGACTTATTGTTTCCTTGATGTTCCCACCTTAAGAATGCAATGGATAAAATGTGAATAATGCAAATTAACCTGGTGAGTGTGACTGTCGCATCCATAGCTGAGACATTGAGGCCCTAAACATTGAGGGAATATTTTTCCACTCCCAAACACTATTACCCAAAGCAACAGACAGGTTGCCCACATCACTGGTGAAGGCGTCCTGAGCAACATCATTGTTTTACTTTCGTCTTACTCATTAACGTAAACAAAAATTGCAACCAGAGTTCATGTCGAAACGGCACTCGTTCTGCAGAGATGCGAGAGGCCCCTTCGCTGAGTCAGATTGTGGTCTGGCGTTTATTCCTAGTCTGATTTTGTCAAGTCATGGCTAAACTGCAGTGATAGTTGGTTTTGGATACAAGAATTTGGCAAAAAATAAAAAAATAAAAAAAAACTAAATCAAATCAAGTCAAATCAAAATCCTTCTATGAAAATTGGCTTCATGGAATTTATAAAGAATACTTACAACAAAAATATGTATCACTTGTAAATTTGTAAATGTTGTTCAACAAACACATCCTTTAGCCCCGTAAAATCTATACAGACACACACACGTATTTTCCTGGATAGCAATTATTGAACATTTACGAGCGCACCACTTCTTTTATCTGTCCCTATGGCATCTTCAGATCCCACTCTCTCTGAAGAATCCCAAGCCTCTCTCAAGTCCCCTTTCCTGTCAGCCTAGGGAATGCTTTTCTAGTCTTAGACTGGACTCCTTTTTTGGTCACTGTCATAAACTCAGTGGTCAGAAAGGGAATGTAAATCTAAAAATGTGCGGTACCTACTAGGTGCTCAGGGGTCTTTAGCACCAACCAGAAAAGACACGTGGTCTGTTCAGTGATCTGCAGGGTGGGGAGTGGGAAGTTCTCTTTCTCCCAGATAATCTCAGAATCACTTCAGGAAAGCATTTCCCAAACCCTACTATGATACATAGCCTTTTCATATGTGTGCCCATCACATCGTACCTTCCTGCTGTTTGCCAAATGGTGCTACACGGACTACTTACTGAACGCTTTTCTTTAAAGTGATTTGCTTTTCAACTTAAATATCTTTTAAGAGGAAATGATATTAATTTATTTTTTTCAATCAAATGCAAACTTACTGAACTGTACTGTGTGCCAGGCACTGTTCCAGACCCTGGGGGCACGGCAGTGAACAAGACAAGGCCAGTTAAATTAGAAATAAGAAATGATAGAGAGAAGGAAGGATGGAGAGAAGCGAGGAAGGGAGGAGGGAGGAAGGAAAAGTAGATGGATGGATGAATCGATAGGTGTATGTCAGGAAGTGAAGAGTGCTAAGAAGAGATAAAGGCTAGATGGGGATGCTTGCATACCGTTTTAGCTAGAAGAATCAGAGACAGCCTCTGAAGTGGTGGCGTCTGAGCAGCGACCTGCATGAAGGACTAGAGTGAGCCATGGAAAGATCTGGGCAGGGGGTGTTGGGTGGCACAGTCAAACAACTGACTCTTGGTTTCAGCTCAGGTCATGTTCGAATGGATCAATGAGATGGAGCCCAGGGCCAGGGTCTGTGCTCAGCATGGAGTCTGCTTGAAAATTCTCTCCCTCTGCCCTTCCCCACACTCAGCACTCTCTCACTCACTCTCTGAAATAAATAAATACATTTATTAAAAAAAGAAAGAAAGAAAGAACTGGGGGAAGAGCATCCCCGGCAGATGGCCCAGCATGTGCAAAGGCCCAGAGGTAAGACTGAGTTTTCCGTATTAGAGGGACCTCAAGGAGGGAGCCGAGGGTAGAGCGATGGTGGAGGAAGAGGAAGAGGCCAACAGGAGTTGGATCATGGAGACCTTCCTGACCACAGAGAGCGTTTCAGAACTTCCTTCCCTCCTTCCTCACTTCTTTCTTTCCTTCTTCCTTTTGATTTTATTTTTAAGTAATCTCTCCACCTAATGTGGGCTCAGACTCACAACCCCGAGATCAAGAGTTGCATGCTCTACTGACTGAGCCAGCCAGGCGTCCCCACTTTTTCTGAATGCACTGGGAAGACCCTGGAAGGTTTTGAACAGTGGGTTAACATGATCTGACGATGCTATGAAATACTTATTGTTGGTGAAGTTGGTGACTACAGAAAATGAGTATCAATTACCGAAATAAGAAGAAATCATAAATATACTATGAAAGTGACATGGTTTCACTAAACTCTCGCTAGATACTCTTATCTACTGTGGGCACTGACTTTAAGGCCTCCTCTATGATGAAAAATGGAGCTTTGCAAGTGTGAGGGAGGCATTTTAAGACACAATAGCACCAACCTAAGATTTTTGTCTTTGTTTGGCTTGAAACAACAATGATGTGATGCAGCATATTTGATGTGGGAAACAAAGGCAGAAGAGAAATTATTAAATTTCCTTACTACCTAACAGCCCTTTGACACATCCTTGCAACAGGCAGAGTGATCCTCCGCTAGGGACTCAGTTGCCTTGATGTTAATACTTGGCTAAGGGCAACAGGCAATCTTAGCCTGACCCCCTGGGATCCTGTAAGTCTACTTTAACATATAAGAATTCCTTCAGAAATTTCCTTTATCTCTAAACTCCCCAAGATACATGGCAGCAATCATCCCCCAAGCATATGGCCCACTGATATGCATCTGAAGGGTCTCAGGACTCAGGTTTTATTAGACAGTAATAAATGACATTTTCCTAATGATAGCTAGCCCCCTCAAGGTCCTGGAAACCTGGCTTCCAAAATTCCTTAGGGGGCACCTGGGTGGTTCAGGGGTTGAGCATCTGCCTTTGGCTCAGTTTGTGATCCTGGGGTCCTGGGATCGAGCCCCACATCTGGCTCCCAGTGGGGAGCCTGCTTCTCCCTCTGCCGATGTCTCTGCCTCTCTCTCTGTGTCTCTCATGAATAAATAAATAAAATATTAAAAAAAAATCCTTAGACACTTACACTCTCCCTAACCCCCTCCCAACTTGAGAGTATATATATAATGGGCCACTCCTCATGACCCTGGTGCAGCTCTCTGCCCATGGGTCCTGTCCCCATGTCTTAAGAATTTTTTCTTGGCCATAGGCTTCAAACTCTAATAACTTTTCCTACATCATATTTATATGATGTTTGTGAACCTAAAATCATTACAAATGCTATGGGTCACATACTTCCCACACCAAAGGTCAGGAAGCCCTAAGTATTAAGAAAGAGACAGGTGGCCTTTGCTGCTCCCACATCAGAGCCTCTTGGGGAGCAGCGTTCATAGTGTCGCTGTGGACACCATTTAGAGCGAGGTCCCTGCTACAGGTGCCCTCCGAGGAAGGAGCACCTCGGATTCCTCCGAGGGGAAGGGGAAGGGAAAGGCTGTGTAGATGTCATTATCTTCCTGCTGCTTCTGAAGGGCTGGCGGTCCAGAGGGAGAGGCGAAGGAGGAAGAGAAGAAACAAGATGTGAAACCAAACCTTTCCCACACCTGAGATCATCACATCGGGGAGGGGACATTCCATGCCTGTCTGTAGATCAGGGAACCGAGGCTTATGAGTATGCCTCTCCTCTCCAGGCTCCTGCCAGCCTCCCCAGTGACCCAACATCCGCTTGGATGACCTCTCACCAGTTTGACCTCTCCTGGTAGGTAATCTCTATGGCCCCATGTTGCACTTGACCTCTTCTACCTTAAACGCATTCAACAGTAAACATACTTTAAATGTTTTATTTCAAACATCCCACTTCCTGATCACCATATCCTAACATTTCTGCTAATATCCGAATGCCCCTCAAGGTAACAGTTCTCTGACCTCATTGAGACCTTTGCCAGTGCCTGACTCTACTGCTTTTCCAGCATCCATGGAGAGGTTCATGGGCTTCACACTCCATCTTGTCCAACCTAGATTCCAAATCCCAACCTTATAATCACCCCGCACACACACCCTTCTGCAGACTTAAGTCATGCTAATCCTATATTCCCTCTGTAGGCAGAGAATGCTGTAGGAGAAAAGTCATAAAACCTGACAAACAAGTTTCACTTGAAATCCATGAACTCAAACAGACTCACCCTACAAATGCTCCCTCTGCACAGCAAAGGAAACAATACATTTAAAAGGCCATTTGTAGGGATGCCTGGGTGGCTCAGACGTTGAGCATCTGCCTTCGGCTCAGGGCATGATCCCACGGTCTCGGGATCGAGTCCCACGTGGGGCTCCCTGCATGGAGCCCGCTTCTCCCTCTGCCTATGTCTCTGCCTGCCTCTCTCTCTGTGTCTCTCATGAATAAATAAATAAAAACTTTAAAAAAATAAAAGGCCATTTGTAGAATGAGAGGAATATTTGCGAACCATAAATCCGAAAAAGGATTTATCTCCAACATACATAAAGAACTCATAGAAATCAATAAGCAAATAATCCAATGTAAAAATAGGCAAAGGACCTGAACACACTTTTTTCCAAAGACATGAATGGCCAATAGGTGTATGAAAAGGTGCACGAGGGCAGCCCGGATGGCTCAGGGGTTTAGTGCTGCCTTTGGCCCAGGGTATGATCCTGGAGACCCAGGATCGAGTCCCACGTTGGGCTCCCTGCATGGAGCCTGCTTCTCCCTCTGCCTGTGTCTCTGCCTCTCTCTCTGTCTCTTGTGAATGAATAAATAAAATCTTAAAAAAAAAGAAAAGGTGCACAACATCCTCATGGAAATACTAATCAAAACTACAATGAGATAATACCTCACACCTGTTAGGATGACTATGGCCATCCTAAAACAATATGGCGGTTCCTCAAGATATTAAAAATAGGACTAC